TTACAATTGCACCTGGAAGTGGGGGGGGGGGGGGTATATTAGGCAGCGAGTGAACATTTTGTCCCTGAAGTTGATGTTTTGGAAGCAGAAAAAATGGACAAGTGTAAGGATTTGAGTGACTTTGACAAGGACCAAATTGTGATGACTAGACGACTGGGTCAGAGCAACTCCAAAACTGCAGCTCTTGTGGGATGTTCCCAGTCTGCAGTGGTCAGGACCTACCAAAAGTGTCCCAAAGAATAAAAACCAGTGAACTGGCTATAGGATCATCATGGGTGGCCAAGGCTCATTGATGAGCGTGGGGAGCGAAGAATGGCCCGTGTAGCCCGATCCAATAGAAGAGCTACTGGAGCTCAAATTGCTGAAAAAGCTCATGCTGTTTCTGATAGAAAGTTGTCTGAACACACAGTTCATTGCAGTTTGTTGTGTATGGGGCTGCGTATGAGTCTGATCCAGGGAGGCCTCACCTCGAAACTCACAGGACTTAAAGGATCTTCTACTAATGGTTTGGTGCCAGATACCACAGCATGCCTTCAGAGGTCTAGTGGAGTCCATGCCTCGATGGGTCAGGGCTGTTTTGGTGGCAACAGGGGGACCAACTCAATATTGGGCTGGTGGTCATAATGTTATGGCTGATGGGGTGTTTATTGTAGGCTCTGATGCATCTGGGTTGCTGGTCATGCATCTGTATGAATGTCTGTGCCTTGCAAAGCATGTGCGGCAGTCATGGCATTAAAGTGACCCTATCAAGTTTAACAAATATGGAGAATACAGGTTCCTGCAATAGAGGAGGTACAGGCATCCGACATTCCAAGGAGTCTTCAATACCAAAAAGTCTTAAGCTGGCCATATGCACATAAGCTTTTTCATTCAACCTGTAGGCCAAATAAAAGAAACCTAAAAGACTACTCCATCCCACTAAGCAGCATACCGTAGATGGACGAATCTGCTCTGCATGATAGCCAGCACTCTCGGCTGCCAGAGGACCCAAGCAGTCACTGCAGCTGATTGGCTAACAATTTCCACCTGGCTCCCTTTGGCAAAAATCAATTGAAAAATTGATTTTTGGTCGAGCTGGCAGGGCCACCTACAGCTCGAATTTCGCTTGATTCAGCAGGAGTCGGCCAAAATTTGAGTAGTGTATGGCCAGTGGTGAAGAGTCTTGGCTTAGCATGAACCCAGTTAACCTGCGTTTGCTCAATCCCACTCAAAACTGAATGCCCCCCACCCCCGGCTCAATCAGTTGCAGCAGGGCACGTTCCCTATTC